AGAAACTATTGATATTTAGGGTGGGGCTACACATTTACTAGAAAATGACTAATATTATTTATTACAAAATTATAACATGAAGAAAAATATTAATAAAATCATATGCCGCCATCAAAACATTTAGCTTTTACTCTATAAAGTTTCCGTTAAAGATTGTCAATTAATGATAAAGCGTGACTTTAGACTTTTCAATGTATATCTAGTGTTTTAAATACACCATTTCCGAACTAATATTAAATGTGCAGGTGTGTTTCGGCATACTTGACTCAAGTATCTTAAGCTACATCAAGTTAGCTTAATCCGGCCCGGAAGTAGCAGATACTTTAAATGAAAGTATCGGTATGATAACACTCCCTTTGGTCAATTAAAGGACGACTAAAAATCTTAAGATAACCATATTTATATCAACAGAAAATTATCGCTGTCTGCTAACGTTATACACAACTGCAAAACAAGTGTTTTAAAATCATCCTCAAAGTACACACAAACATACATTTAATTATTATGTTACTGTTTATTATATTTTTACTTTTAAATTTACCTTTATAGATCTATCGATCTTAAACAGGAAAATCCATTTTTTTTTTTGGTTATATATTTTTTTTTCTTGAGTTTCTTGTATCCTGTTCCTCCTAGTTTATTTGTCATCGCGGCTTTAGTCACCTTTCGTTCTTGGATTTTCTTGAATTTTGGTCCGAGCAAAGCCGATGTGTTAAGGCCGCTTTAATGTACTATTTTGTACTCGTACCAGTTTAATGTTGTTGAGGGCCTCGAATTATTTTAAGAGAAGGGATAGGCACCCGGATTTCAAATATATAGGCTTCCGCTACTCCTGTTATCTTATTTCAGCATCCCTTTCCTTTTCAGATGTACTTGAAAACTGTCTTCTACATCTATCTGTGTCTAAGTTTATCGACATCGACTGAAGCTGTAGATGGTAAATATTTGCTGTCGTGTTAATGAACGGCAGATCCTGTCAAAATATAATATATAATAATACATTACAGTACTTATTTGTCGTAAGGTCGTCCTTCTAAATTTGTATCATTTATATTATTAATAATGTTTATGATGTTTATTGTATTGTAATTATTATTATTATTATTATTATTATTATTATTATTATTATTAAAATAAGTATAAATCGATGTTCAGAAAATTGAATTATTCTTAATCATGTAAAAAACATCATTATTCATGATTTGAACATATGATTTGAATGGTAATCATCTTACATATATTACCAAGCTACAGCAGTTCAATTCAAATCTTCAGTGGTCCTCCGTTTCCATTTCGATAGACGTTTCCGAAGCATAATTTAAACTTAATTACTGACCAATCAGAACAGGGTAATGAATACGCGCGTGTCCTACAAACACACGTCTTACCCACTCTACTATAATATTGTAGAGATCAGTGGTCTTGCCCCACAAACGAATGTGTTTGCGTGTGTTTTTACACTGTCACTTTGTGGGACCTTGGTCCGTTCATGTTGCTGGGAAACAGCACTGTAACACATAACCTATGATGTTGATTTACATTTTGGAATTTGGATTTGGAAATACAATTTTGATAGAAGCTTTCCTACTTTAAGGAGCATTTGGTTTAGCTAAAATTAAGGCCTGCGCCATATATAGGCCTACATACATCTGTACATTCCTCAGAGGCGAAGCTCTGATAGAGAGTAACTGAAGCTCCAAAATGTTGGGATATTTGGAAACCAATTTAAAAAAAAATTATGGTCGGCTATTTTCAAAATGCAAAATATTTTACGATTTTATTCCGTAAGAATTTCAGGTTTTAAGTTATTATTATTAGGCGACATAGGCCTATAATCAGGTTCAGATTAAATTTATTCGGTCCAATAAAATGGAAATAACATTTTCATTAAATATTTAAAATACCTTATATAAAAATACTACAAAATAAAATATGCAGTACAAAAATATAAAATACAATACAAGGTAAAACACCCAAACACAATAACACCCGCCAACAGGGTTATTATATAATAAAATATAATTATATTATTATATACTGTACTGTGTTTACTTTGCTAGATTAATATCAATTATATAAAGACAAAATTTTGTCATTATTGTTGCTGTTGCTTTTATTATTATTATTATTATTATTATTATTATTATTATTATTATTATTATTATTATTTATATTATTATTATTTATTGATAATACTATCATTATTACTATTATAATTATTATTATGCCATTTTTTTATATGTTACAGCATGTCCAGATGGTTGGGAGAGGTATGGTGGGAGCTGCTACCATGTACGCTACAGCGTTGAAGGCGTTGGTTGGGAGGGAGCGGCCAAGTACTGCGACAGTCTGGGGGCTAGTTTACCGGTCATCGCCACGCCAATTGAAAATAACAAGTTATATACCATGATGTATGCACCTAACACTTAAGGCCAACTCAGACAGCGTCGGCCGACGCAGCCCGACGCGATTTGTTGTCGCGTCGGGTCTGTGTGAGTTGAACGCAGACGCGATGGTGTGCGTCGGGGGCAGTCGCGTAGTAGAATATTAAACGTGTTTAATATTTCAACGACTTACGCTAGCGTAACGTTAATCGAGTGGTGTGAACTTGTGCGCGGCGTAGCGAACGCTAGTATTACCAGCAACTGACCCCAGATTAGCGTACGCCACTGATTTACGACAGTCACGCATCGGTGACTTTGAACTCAGCAAAGATTTGACTAATCAAAATAAACCTAGATGTAAACAGAAAATAAAATGCGAGAATTACGATTACGAATATTTCGCGCGAATACTTACGCTAGCGTTCATTAATCGCCCAGTCTGGACATCTCGCTAGTTACGCCATGGATTAACGTACGCCTGGCGTTAGATACGCCTGGCGTATCTCACAGGTCTGAACGTAGCCTAAGACTGTCCCCGACGATAAATCGGGTCGGGCTGCGTCGGCCGACGCTGTCTGAGTTGGCCTTTAGACATAAAAACTCGTTCATGTATACCGTATTTATTCAAATAAACGCCCTCGAATAAATGCCCGCCTAAATGGACGTAAACAAAATGGAAGCAACATCAGTTCTCAATACAGTTTATTGATGTTCTACTCCAGTAAAATTACATTTTTTCTAACCTGGTTGGGATCAATAAATCATGATCACGTTGTAAGTCGCACATTTACATTGAAAATATATCTATTCCATAAACCTAATATATTTTCATTTTATTTCACATATCCTAGCAGAAATTCAGGCAATATATTTACGCTTGTTATGCTTTAAAGGGGCAATCCACACATTTCATTTGAAAATTTAAACATATTGCATTTTGATTGTAGCATCGAACTTGGAAGACGACTTAACTTGGATTCGGACGCCCAAGTGTTTACCTGGTTGGGATATCACAACACGGATGGGGAAAGATGGCGGTGGATTGAGACTGGCAAAGTATCTACTTATGAAAGTAGGTAAACGGTGGTAAATGCATACACACAACATCAAGATGAATACACAATACAACATAATATACTGAGGAGGATGCAGTTGGCGGTAGAGGGTGCATGAGAGTCCACACCATCTTAGCCACACCATAGTTGAAGCAGAGATGTGAACATTTTGAGAATATTGACCTCTAGGTGTCCGGAAATTGTACTCTCATACCTTAAAAATCTTACCGGTAATTGATATCAACAATGCAATACAAAAATTATTTTTGTAATACAATGTAAGAGAGTGCGACCGCACCGATCCCCCCCCTCCCCCCCCCCCCCCCCACTTCTGCATCACTTCTGCATCCGCTTTAGATATAAATACACAGGTTGTTGTATATGGGAATGATGTTTGCCCAATCTGACGTGATATTGTATACTGTCTGCTTAGATGTTCCCAATTTTGAAAATAATTCTTGCAAAAGAACCCACTGACATCAAATAACTAGTCTGGTATCATAACCACTAGACCATCTAGCTTGATTTATACGAACCAATAAAGTTTATCCATTGTTTTCCTGAATTATTGAGGATTGGCTTGCGCTTCATAACCGCACGGGAAAGGCGCAATATAAATACCCAGTACCAGTACTATTTATCAACTGCCACTAATCCATTATTTCATCTGATTAATTGATTAATTGGTATACCGCAAAGGGATAGGCCTATGTAAAAATATGAATGAATATGCGCCTGTTTATATTGTCAAAGAATAGTGTCTCGTTTATAATTTCCAATTGTAAACTAGTAATAAACTTCATTATCGTTATATAGTGATAAATAGGTCAAACCAGGAAGATGCAAACAAAATATATTATATAATATATATTTTTTTATGTAAAAATATTGTTTACATCGCCTTGGTTAAACACTATATTATTTTTTTTTATTTATGAAGATTTTAACAGTGACGTTTTGAGAGATCCGGAACCGGACACGTCAAAATGCGCTGCAGTGTTTTTGTACGGAGAAGATATCGGCAAGTGGGACGACTTAGACTGTCAGTTCGCGTCACTCTTACGATTTATTGCATGTGAACGAATTGTTGGTAAGTTAATATATCATAGGGTCACCGCTAATATGAGCAGGTTTTAATTGTTGTTCAACCTTCCAAAAAAAATATCGTACTTTAGTTCAAATTTTATTTAGACAGAAATATATACATCATATTGGCAACTATACCATCACATTAATTTTATTAAAATTTTTAACATTTATAAGGGAAACATATCAAAGAAAACTATAAAATACCTTAAACTTCAATTTTTGTATGAAAAACCACGGCAGGCCATGTTGGACATGGTGATAATGGGCAGAACCAAATCTTGGCTAAATAAGATACTCTGATGAGAACTTTACTAAATGGATATTAATTTAACTTTAAAAGGTAAAGGTAAATGTAGAACAACCCATAACCCGCAGCGCCATTGTGTATGGGCGTGGTCTGTGACTACCTAGCTGCCGTAAATAGGCGCTTCACATCATTCCACAACGACAGGGGGTAAAATGAACTATAACATCCGGGTAACCCCCTACTCTTCCGAAAGATGCAATGGGTTATTTAAAGTGCACACGAGCCAGATGTATACACTGGACCTCCATTTGAAGTTCTTATCCAAAAAGACTATGTTCTACCAACCGAACCATGGGCGAGAAGCAGCGCCGATGTTAAGGCTGTAGCTAGTGGCGCACCTGCTTTACCGCTCGGCCACTCGACTCGACTTTGAGAAACCTCCTTACAGTTCACTTATAGAGTACAAACGATACACATTCACAATATTTCAACTCCATTTAGAAAAATTATGGGATAAATTGAACAGAATCTTTAAAATACACTTTGTTTACTTTGTACAATATAGACAAATTTACAATATTTCAACTCCATTTCAGAACCAAAAATAAGGCTTGCTGGCGGCCGAAATGACTTGGAAGGTAGAGTCGAAATCAAAATAGGAAACCGATGGGGAACAGTTTGTGATGATTTCTGGACTGACGAGAATAGCCATGTGGTTTGTCGCCAACTTGGATACCCAATGTCTGAATATTTTCGACCCGGATCTCCTTCTAACGCGGGATCTGGCACGATTTGGCTGGATGACGTCAAATGTACTGGTGAAGAACGTTTTTTGACGTCATGCCAACAAGCAGAGTTTGGGACCAGTGATTGCAAGCATAATGAAGACGTCTGGATAAAGTGTTATAAAGGTAATTTCGAAATGCTTTGCAAGTATTTCGATGTAGGTCTATAAATAATATAATCTATGAAGTTAGTTAATGATATAAAGGGCATGCTTAGATCAGCCGATGTAAAGCATTCACTGTAAAGATATTAAGTGGCTTAAAAAATACATCATCTTTAATTGTTTCACCTATTGTAGACCTACAATTTGTAACTACCGTACTCGTGCGAATAACCACCCGGGCGCTTAAAATATTTTTTGCACTTTTTGAGGGGCGCTTATTCAAACGGGGCGCTTATGAAAACATACCGGTAGTGGAAATTGAGGGGGCGCTTATGGAAATAGATGAAAATCGAGGAGTTCTTATGAGAACTTATTAAATTCAAGAGGCACTTTTTAAATGAAAAACGATTATATAAGGACATCGGGAAACCGAAAATTACGAATAGTGGTGCGGCGGAAAAGATAATCGTTCAGAGGGCATGGCTCGTTGACAAGAATGTTGTGAGTATTAACATAACAGCAGAAAAACAGATAAAATTAGTGGTGGTGGAGCTTGTTGGCCATCGGCTGACTGAGATTAGCAGGATGTCATGATCATTGCAGGTTTTCTTGAAAACTCAGATGAGAATATATTAAAGATGCAAATTATACTAGGCCTAGACAAATGTAAGAAGATGAAAGTTGGAAATATATTCTCTGTCCAGGGAGCACTCATCTGTCCAAGAGAAATATCCTCATTTTTTATATTGACCTAAGGAGAATGTGATTCCACTCTGCAGCTCCTCTGGCGAGGATGCAGGGGTGCGGTCGCACCCCTCTAAATTATATTAAGAAAAACAGTTGTTGTATTATATTGTTGATATGAATTATTGGTAAGATTTTTAAGGTATGAGAGTGCAATTTCCTGGCACCCAGAGCTCGATATTCTCAAAATTTTCGCGCCTCAGCCCCAACCATGTTGGAGCTGAGGTGATGTACACTCTTCACGGACCCATGGGTGCAGATCAATGGGAAGGGGAACACGTTTCTCCCCCCAACATATTTTTAAGGGGAAAGGGTTGGTTCTTCTTATCTTTTCGGGAATCAAGAAGATATGCCTGAAAATTGTTGAAATAAACTGCATAAATGACTCAGGTTTTAACGAAAGAGTGCTGTAGTCCTACAGCCAGAGCACATCTTATTTTATAGCAAGATACCAGTATACTCTGCCCACAAACATCTGCATTACCTATCATACACGATTCGAGTGCGCGTGCCTTTATTATAATTTGAGAAGTATGAGAAAAAGCGTGCAAAGATAAATTTATTTTTGGCACATGAAGCAGGTAAAGTAAATACATCAAAGACAATTAATTTATATTTTCTATGGTACATCACACCGATTAATTAGATTGATAATAATGAATTTTACATATATAACAGAGTATCATATTCATCAATCTAGAGGTACAATTTCCCCAAATTTTACCACCTCAGCCTCAACTGTGGTGGGCTGAAATGCGTGTGGACTCACAGGTTTGAAGTAGGTGAAGTGAATACATCAAAGACACGTTTTTAAGTTGTATTTTCTATGGTACCGTACATCACGCATTATATCTCTGTGGTTGCCGAAAATAGCTGATGAAGGATCATGAGAATTTGTTGGCGCTTCATTTTGACTATATTATAATGGCGATGTGATGATGAATTTTACTATTTAAAAGTGTCATTTCCGGCCATCTAGAGGTACTATTTCTCTAATTTTTGTGTAGTCACACAGCTCATGATGTAGGTCAAATAAATTAAATACATCAAAGAAAGTATTTCTGTATTTTTTTTTCTATGGTACATCACTCATAATAATTAGATCTCTGTGGTTGCCGAAAATCCCTGATTAAAAATCATGAGAAATTTGCTGGCGCTTCATCTAGACATGATGATGTGATGATGATGATCTTTACTATATAAAAGTGTCATTTCCGGCCATCTGTAGGTACTTTTTCCTAAAATTTTCTCACCCACCTCAGCCCCAACCATTGTGGGGCAGAGGTGGTTGTGGACTCACTGCTACCTCTATAGTAAAATCACCGATAAAAAAAAAGATCATGAAAATGTTTTGGCGCTGTATTTTGACTATATAATGATATAGTGATGTGATGATGATGAATTTTACTATTATAAATGTATTATTTCATTTATAGGTACTATTTCTTAAAATTTTTGCACGTACCCACTACCGTCAAAAACCTGCATTGACTTGCTAAAAAAAATCACATGATATTATTCAAACGGAAATTTTCATTATTCGAGAGGGGCGCTTATTCAAACGGGGTGCTTATTCGTGCGAGTACGAAAGTGTTCATAAGAATATGGAAACACAGATATTAAACCAAAGTAAATTTATATCTTTCAGAGAGCCAGCGGAAGAATGCAATTCCAAAATGGTTTAGTGCCACAAATAAGTATGTACTTCTACATGAATTATTTTTATTATTACGTTTTTGAATTGATATATTGTACAGATTTGAAACAAATGTTTGAAGACTCAAGCGTCGACATGACTCGTGTGAAACTGCAACTGCTAGATGCATCGTACCTTAAGCGGCTCTCGGACTTGTCACCGTGCAAACTGTTGAATTAAAAAAAACATGAACCTATAATATACCGTAGTGATTATGATATTTTGAATATAGTGATAATCATTAATGTTTCTGTTTTTTAGATGTTATGATTGGGATGCACGATGTGATAATGGTAACTGCTATTCAGTTTGCAGCGACCAGAGTCTTGTCCAAGAGATTATTCCGCATCGTCTTCGAGTCACAACATCACACACTGATCTCAGTGCTCTTGATCAATACATTCCTGACGGCTATAATACTGTGAACAACATGGAATTATTTTCTCAAAACGCCATTGTAAACCAAATGTTTACACCGAATTTTCATCTTCAGGTCATGACGAGGCGGTTGCAATTAGAAAATACAGCTATTCTCAGTTATGATGACGTCACCAAATGCTACCAATTTCACATTCTGACCCACGAAGGAACAGTCTATTATGTTTTCAGTGGCAGTCTTAGAGGTTACTCTGTAGCGATCTATGCAGAAACACTTCACATTCCCAGTAGTTTTTGTTTACACTTAATCAGGTCACCTTTAGCAAATATCCCAACAGTTCCAGCAGAGTACACAGCGTTGTCAATCACATGTGTTGGTGTTCAATCGTTGTCTGTAAGCCGAGGTAATAATGATGATTGTGCAAAGAACATGATGCTTGATACCATTTCCTTTATAATTAACCTGGGACCATCAAAAGAAATATTGGAATGGGTTATCAGTATAAAATCCAAAATACTAGTTAGGGTAGAAAATGAAGTGCGATTCGTTCCCAGTCTCTCTCATCGTAGCTATGAATCATTATTACGAACATATCAAAATGACCTGGAACTACTCGCAGATGGCCTCCAAAACTTTTTAGACAAGGACACTCGCTTTGACGAAAAGATAGAAATACTAGAGCTGTTCCGATCGAATGCTAAAGATGTGCTAGCTGCCAGAGAGCTTGAATATACCAACGGACTAAACGAAATCGCGGTGTCTAAGAAAACCATTGAGCTTCTCCAAAAAGAGTTTAATGCTTTACAACCTAAATTAGAAAATGTTAGAAGGAAATTTGAATCTGATGTCAAAAGTTACGCAATCAGAAAATCGTTCCAAGCTTTTTTTAGTTTAGTAGAAGGTATTGCAAACGTCTTTGGTAAAGCTAAGAAAGATGAGGAGGATGTATCTGTTAAAGACATCTTTAAAGTTGTAGGCCTAGGATTTCTTGACATCTTGAATCTGATATTTACAATAACTAAATTATTTAAGACAATAGACAACGTCGATTCTTATATCGATGGTAAATCTAATCCTTCATCTCAAGAACTCGAATCATATATAACATCAATGCACGAATTGTCAAATCTTCAACTGACTGTGTTGACATGGCAGTCCTTAGAAAACGCCGCCGACGGTCTTCTTAGTCAGGGAAAAGTTACGGAGATTCCCAGTGCTGGTGAGTATAGACAAATAGTGTCTGACGTAGCAGATTATGGGCGCGCGTTGACAGAGGAAATGATCAGGCACACGCAGCTTCTTCTCCAGAAGATCGAAGATATGCAGTGGCTCAACGTCAGTAGAAACGAGGCGGAACGGCTAGAAGACGTCATTCAGAAGGCAAAGGAACAACAAATTAATCTTCATTTCATTTTCTCCGAGCTTGATTTCCAAATTTATTTTATAAAATATTCCGTAAAAGATACGGTGAACACGTTCTGCAAATCTAAGTTTTACTATCAGTTTTATGAATGTGACGTTGCTAGTCTACCAGTGATGTCCGATTCAATCCGGCTGGTGCGTCAGAAAATTGGGTCGTTGCTGAGAAGCCAGCTTCTAGGTTTGGTCAAGTTTTCATATGGACGTACGCAACCGATTATTATCACGAAAAAATTGAGAGATAAAAAGGATTGTTCCCGGCGAGGTAAATACGCAAATATTGCTGACTGTCCAGTACTTTCCTTCAAGCGCAAAAACGTTGTTTACTTTTTTATTGGATTGAACAGCACAGAGTTTCTTGAACTTTATCGTGTTCGCATTGAAAAAGTAAGAATTTATCTGAATGGTGATATTGGCAAAAATAAAGAAGGGTCAGGTTGGGATGGTCGATTATTTGTTGAAGAGGGGAAAAATAAAAAAGTGAGATTGGATATCCAGACAACAGGCGTATTTTACGACCGCCATGGCACACAAAATTTTGGATTTACAGGTATTCAAGTTAATAAGAAGTTCGAGTACCGGATTGGTAACCGAGGTATGTATAAAAGCTGTTGTTGTTGTTTTGAATTTATTATTTGATGCCACTGTAAACTTTTTTCCCTATGGGATTGATGTTGTTACTGGCATTCGTGCTATTATTGGTGGATGGACTGTTGGAACTGATCTTAATATTGAGAGTGGTGATATGGATGCGTGTATCATTGTTTTATTATTACTTTGAGCGAACGAAAAGAAAAATGGCACTCCTGTATAAATGACATAAGTTTAAATGACTTCGGGAACTGTCTTCTGTTTTGTCACTCTCCATCATTTGAGAGACCAAAATAATATTAGGTTAGCCTGAAAGTTATTCTAATAAATGGCCCATCCATCCGCATAAAGAATTTTTAAAATGATGCTTACTATTTACCAACATCTGTAATTTTTTTCCGGCTAAAAATAAAAATCTGACAGGTTAGGTGGGGGAGGAGAGGCATACGTTTAGATCAGCCAATGTAAAGCATTCACTGTAAACAAATATAAATTGGTTTGATTTATATTTGGATAGCTTCAAAAATACATCAGCATTAATTGGTTCAACTATTGCAGATCTACAATTTGTAACTAAGTATATTCTATATCTATATTTGTCGGCTAAAAATAAAAATCCGATGTCCGAACCTGGATGCACCCCAGGATGTTAACGTCCTGACCCTCTCTTTCAGCACACCACCCGCCCTCCTCTCCTTAAAGCCTGGATACGCCACTGATATTATGTACAAGGTTAATATTCTAAAGCACAATATTGAATACTGTAATGTTTTCAACTATAGTTTTAGAAAGACTTATGCAAATAAAAGAAAAATTACCTTTTAAACAAAGAAGAAATCAGCAAATAATTTGGTTTTTAATGTTGACAAAAAGCAGGTAAGTTACTGATAAAGAATATAGTAAAAACTGGATTATACAGTCCTATATTCAGGTACGGTACATGCTAAAATGTTGATAGATGTAGACATACATTGCTTATTCGTCACGTACCGTAAATCCTCGAATAAGCATCGCTCTCGAATTAGCGCCGCACCAACCGTGATGTTTTTTTCGCCGCTGTGCTTTTTCGATAATTCTATTTTGAATAAGCACCGCTGCGCTTAATCAAGAGTACATATTACCCTGTGTCTAATGAAAGCATTGAGAAACAGGGTTTTAAATACAATGTAGGCCTATACAGCGTATCAAATAGATAAATAACACATTGAAGACACAACCATATCTTTATAAACGTTTGATAGGCCTACCGTACCGAACTACGGGAATACGTCATATAGGTAACATGGGAACGGGCATGGAAAGCGCCAATATTAAGCGCCGTTCTCGAATAAGTGCCGCACTGAAGCAGGGTTGGCGGCAGTGGGGGTCGAGGGGAAGCCGAAACCCCCCCCCCCCCTCCTGTCAGGGGGAAAAAACAAAATTCGTCAGGGAGAAAAAAATATGTATTTTCTACATACAGTATATAAAATCGATTCAATAAGCCTTTGAAACTGTAACTTGTCATATTTTTCGGGGCTGGGCCTCCTGGACCACCTTCTTTGAAACATTTTGAGCGACGCCCGACCCCGCTCACTATGCTCTCGTCGGGGATATCGGAAGTCATTTTCGGGCGTCTAGAAAACAAATATTTTGCGGGAGCATTCGCCGGACGCGATTTTTTTTTTTCGTTAAGAGCAAAACATAGAAAAACATATAAAGCGCTCTGATTGGCTAATGATAAGATACGTCATCGAACTTTTGTTTGACAGTCACAGTTTTAGAGACCGAAATTCGAGACCCCCCATTTTCAGTTTCAAAATGTAGTATCGAAATAAAGGTAAACCATAACATAAATATTTTCTTGCAGAAACTCCGATATTGGATGGCGATATATATAGTGCCGAAGCAAACTCATTCGTGAACACGACCCCATTCACGACGTGGTGCATACGTGCTCCTGTTGATAAAAATGCACACTTAAATCTCGACAACCTTTCAAGCATCGAAATACATTTCTTTGGGACGGCTGTTGTTGGATATTGAAGAAATTGGCATGCCATTTATTCAACATATAATATATTATTGATAATTATTAATTATTATATACCATTTTATTGGATTTATTTTGAAACAGCGCCGCCAACGTCTCTAAACTCACTGGAGCACTTCCAGCGGTCTATTTGTGCTCGTTAATAATTTAGTTTTATCGTTAATTTAATTCATGGTGGTAGCTAGGTAGAGCAAACTGCTAGGCCTTAGAAAGTCCCCCAGTGGTAGTTGCCAGGTTATCGGAAATGTTTATTTCAAATTTCGTGAAAATGGTCTATTACTATCATTAATAATAATTACCATTAAAAATTAATTATTTTTAAATAATATAAATTTTTTCTAGATTTGTATTGATTTAAACTAAAATATTATTTAGGTGGAATGGAAATAGCCAGATAAGGATGGTTAAACCATGGAGAAATTTGTTTATATAAACATTTTTATTGATAAATATTGCTTATTATGAATAATCCTTTTATTACTATTACTATAATTAATGATAATTACCATTAAATTTTTAGATTTGTTGTACTGATTTAAACTAAAATATTATGTAGGTGAAATGGAAATAACCAGATAAGGAAGGTTGTTTGATGCAGGGTCTTTATGATGTTCATGAATTTAGCGTCAATTGTCATTAAACGGTCATCCTTATTTCTGGCAATATTATTATTATAATATTATTTTATACTGAATAAAAAAAAAGACATTCACCGTTTGTGTGTTCTGATAGATAGTGAGAGTAAAATTCAAAAGTAAAATGTTTAACTTGATCAAATTGAGCTCAAATCTAGTTTCTAGTTGCTACTTGCTGTCACTGATTACAAGTAACACAAAAATAAAAATACTGTACAAGTATAATAATTATACTGAGTGACACCCATAAATGTCACAGTGGCGGATCAAGGAATTGAAAATAGAGGGGCCCCACAAAGAGGGTCTAGACCACCTCAGCCCCACCATGTTTGGGGCTGAGGTAAGAAAATACATGATTAATGCACCTCTAGATGACTTTTTTGATAATTTGGAAAAAATAAAGGGGAGGGCCTGAACCCGCCACTGTGTCATATTTAAGAGCTATCAGAATCTACTGAAATTAATAATATTAACAAAACAAGTGAATATTGTAACATGAAGAACTTAGTATTTTTGCAAATAGTATTTTATTTGACAATAAAAACTAATATACAACCTTTGAGTTTTTTGGTGTTTTTTTTTTATTATGTATGTTAGTCTCCGGAGAGGAAAAGTCGAAGAACACTGTCTCAGGGTTTTTTTTTTCAAATGATAACAGTTAAGATAATGATGATAATGATGATGATGATGGTGGTGGTGGTGGAAATGACGATAATAACTAAAAATTATTTTATATCTTAGAGCACACAAGATGTTGCTTCACACAATTACTCCGAGTATTGTATCAAATACGTATGGACTATAAAGAGTACAGTGTTCTGTGTTTGTATGGAGCGCATCTGCATTCAAGCCCACCTATATTAGAGTAGAGAGACACAACATGGATTAAGTGGCTTCCTCGATTATACACACACAAGCGACCATTTTGGTTACTCACTCACAATCGCTACACGCTATCGCCGACAAATTTCGGTGATGCTGATTGGTCGGTCGAATCATAGAGAAAATTTTCTCTATGGTCGAATCAGGAAGCCTTCTCGATTATGTCGGGGACTGCTATGCGGTACAACGATACTGCACTGAAAACACTGAGTAGCGTCAGCGCAGTGATTTTAAGGAAACCAACCTTCACTTTACAGTAGGCCTATTCCGTCTCTAAATGAACTTACTCGTTGGTGGCGCTGTCTAGAATGAGAAAAGGGTTCAAAGTCATGATTTTTTTACTGGAAATGCATGATTGCCTCTGCTTCACCTATTTTCATTTTACGAGTGCCACCAAAATTAGGTGCCATTTTTAAATTTAAAGGGGGGTGCAGGGATGAAACGATTAATATTTAATATCAAATAGGGGGATGACGGTGACGGCATATAATTTCGGAGGGTGGTATTCGAAAACGAGGCTCGTCAACTGGGTCCCAAAAAAATGGTGCTACAGGATTTCGAGCCAGTGTTAAAAGATAGGGAATTTCCTAAAATGGACCGACTTTTAACGGCTTGCAATCAGTAAAAAATCGAGTCAAACTTTAGGTATTTCAACGTGAATTTGGCCGCTCTTTTCATTTATATAGGTTGTTCCTATGGCTCAGTTTTGTGTAAAATAACAGATTGCCCCAGTTTTTATTTCAGATTTGTGCGCTGCGATAGGAAGTCAGCTGATTCACTCAACCGTAACGAGCTGGTAACGACAGCCAACTGTCGAGACGTACATCGCGAGAAAAATTGAAAGGGCCATTGATGCGTTATGGCGGAAACATTTAATATAAGACTAGAGAAAGACAGAGAAGAAATGCTTACGGTATGCATTTGAACCTGTTGTACAACAGGATCCACAACAACAACAGCAGCAACAACAGCAATTTTAACGACAACCTTCTTCTTCTAGTAGTAGTAGTAGTAGTAGTAGTCGTAGTCGTAGTCGTAGTCGTCGTAGTCGTAGCAGTAGCAGTAGCAGGCCTGCCCTTTCTTTAATATAGGGCTTTGACCATTCACCCAATAATCCACATGTAAACTGGTCTACACCAATTCTCTGAAAGCTGTACAAGTACCAAAAACGATGTAATACAATTTACATGGTTGTGGTTTTTTGTCGCTTGAATTAAAATAATGGAATATGGGAGTCTGCGGTAGCTGTACTATTCAATTAATCTAATTTGGTATAGATATAGACCCCCAATCTAGATTCGTTAACATGAAATATAATATTACTAATAGATTCTTAAACTGATATGTTTGTTTATCAGACTCGGAGGCTCTTTGCCATTAGCTCTTATTAGTACTCTGTCTCATGTGGCCCATTACGTTACAAAAAATTCCACACATTTGAATTTTTAAATTTAACAATTAAAACTTAAAATACAAGAACAAATAACACGGAAAACCGAGGAACCAAGGACAGCCCACAAAAGATGTCGTAATACAATCTTATTTCCAGAGAGGTAAAAATATAAATAATAGGCCTATAAACATTAATTCTTTAAAACTTTTAGAAATATATACATTAATAAAATATTGCGGGGAAAAAATTCTAGCATAAAAGCAGTCAGTTTAAGATGATTTTTAAGATGCATATTCAAAATATGTAAACCAAAAACATGCCTTAACATGCTTTGGAAGATAGTTAGTTTCTACAAGAGCAGGGAGAGGCCATGCTCTTAAATGGGACACGGAAATTATGAGAGTTTCCTCTGGTTTTTTTTATTGGCTATCCGAAAGCATTGTGAAAAACGACAACCAATTATGTTTTAATCGAGAACTTTATGTGATTGGTTGATGCGAATCTTATTATCACATGCTAATTGATTGCGATAATTTCACCTTCATTATTAGAATTCCGCAACAGCATTGTCAGTTATACAAGAAGTTGTGTATATTGTATATAGGCTTCACCATTCTAGAATGAAGTATTATCTGTTAGTCTGTCTGGTTATACCTGTATCTTTAGCCTTTACTTTTCAAATATGCTACAATCATAACCCTTTACGGATTAATGGGACACAGAATGCTAGTGAATTGCGATGTCCAATGAAATGCAAGTGCAGTTACTGCCTATTAAACAAAGAAGATTACTTGGCATATACTCGCATTGTTGATTGTTCATATGAACATTTATCGGCTGTACCACCGGTGGAGACGGTTCCAACTGATACTATGAAGTACCTACTGAACAAGAATGAAATCAATTCATTAAAGAACAACTCCTTCAGAACATTAACCACCCTGAAATATTTGAATATGGAATCAAACGACTTGAGTTACAGAACCATTGAAAGTGATGCATTTCGTGGATTGAAGAAACTGAAATACCTCTCGTTGAGTAAAAACACGAATCTACATAGGCTGCTGGACCAGTGGTTTGTAGACCTTACATCGCTTGAATTCTTGAATCTAACTCATTGTGGAATATACAGAATAGAAAATTATGTATTTAAACATTGCAAATATTTGCAAACAATTGATCTTTCTTGGAACGGTATTAAATCGCTCCCGATACCCGTTTTCCAAAATCTCCTCTCACTTAACTACCTATGTATTGATCACAATAAACTTACCTCTATTCCAAATAAAGCATTTGTAGGTTCTCGAAAACTCATGAATATTAGTGTCACAGATAACTCTCTCACGGGAATCTCAGAAAATGTCGGGTTACAAAACCTAATTTCTTTGCACAATCTTAGTGTCTCATTCAACAAATTTTCATGCGATTGTTATCTTGTGTGGTTTAGGCAATGGATTGACAAGGCAAACGTCACTTTCCCAGACATTGATCAGGCTTTGTGCTACGAACCAAAAAGTTTGTATAACAGCAAATTCATGGATTTTGAGCCCGATAAATTGCAGTGCAACACATTTATTACAATATTGAAGATTGCCATTCCATCTGCTTCAGCTGGAATTGCTATTGCAATAATTGGATTTCTTATGTACTACTTCAGATATGATCTAAGGTATTCTAATGTTGAAGTGTAATTATATAAAAAGATATTAGGTTAAGCTTTAGAAAAAGGTAGGCCTCGTCTCGTCTGCTTGGTGTACCGGTACTATTTTAAAACAGTTAGTAAATCGTAACTCCAGTTACATTGTTATGCACGTGTCGTTGCCATTTCGTTTCGAAAAGCCTCATTTATTCGTCAAAAGTCATTTCATACTCATCTGCCAACTTAAAATATACATATATACAATCAAAACTTAAAAACTAATCTTGACTAACTTTCTCTTTTATAATGAGGTGCTGGAATGAGAGAAGACGCCTTCGTAAGCAATATCAACAACTTGCAAATCAAGGACATTCACCAATTAATGATGAAAACATACAATACGATGCCTTTGTGTCATATAGCAACAGAGATCAAGAATGGATTCTCAATGTATTGCAACCGTCGTTAGAAACCCAACGCAACTTTAAACTTTGCGTTGATTACCGTGATTTCATCCCGGGAGAGGCAGTTGTAGATAACATCGCAAATGCCGTTAAATACAGCCGAAAAGTGCTGTTGGTTGTTTCCAAAAACTTCGTCAAAAGCGAGTGGTGTTACTTCGAACTGGAAATGGCGCGCACACGCATGTTCGAGACTCGTGAGGACGTCTTGGTTGTGGTACTACTAGAGAAGGTGTCAGCAAAAGATATGCCAGTACTCTTGCATACGATACTGACAAAGAAAACATATATAGAGTGGGAAGAACGTCAAGAGAGACAAGCGTTGTTCTGGGCTAAGCTGGAAGCACTGTTGATGTCTTCGAATTGCCACAGAAATCGACTGTTGGATACTCCTCCAGACTAAAACAGAGAAAGAAGCCAAAAAATGCATTCCTTATTATGTGTTACCAACCGTCTCGCATTGTGCAGGACGGTCCCGCATTTCAAAGTGATTTTGGATGAAACACGCATTTTGCAGAAACACATGCGTGATCATAAATTTGTCACGCATTTAGCACAAGTCTATGCGTGATAACGAATTCAGGGGAAAATGTATTTAAAATTAGAAGAAATTGGTTTTATTAAATATATAAAGAAGGTCATGCAGTAGCTTGAGTAAATAGAGAGCTTTCGTTATCTCGTTCGAGACAGTGGCATATCCAGGCGGTGTCTCTTATACACATCTAGATGTGTATAAGAGACAGGCTCCCCTCCCCCCATTCGAAAACTTCGAGGCAAAAAAAATTAGGCTAGTCTTATGCTTATGCTGTCACGGTTAACGTCGGGAATCTAAGAAGCAATATTTTTCAGTGGGCGTGGCCACCGAAATTACCAACAATTATGGTCGATGGATAGTTACTGAAAAATAGATAAAAGAACGTGGTAAACAAATTAAATCACATTATGTAACTAAGCACAATCGAAAAGTACCTGCTTGTTACATAATGCGATTTATGCAACAATCATGTATACCGTTTCCATTTTTCTCGTTATTATATTGTGATTTATCAATGGCAGATCCAGAAATACAAAATAGAAGGGACCCAGGGAGGGACTTTAACAAATGAAAGGTCTAGACCATTTCAGCTGAAATAACACAATTTATAATTATGGCACCACTAGATGGCGCCATACTCACACTTAAATTGTAATATACCGCAATTTTCTATTTTCTTTCTCCATTTTTTTTATTTTTAGAAAAATACAGGGGGGGGGGGGCGTTGCTTGGCCCCTTTGAATCCGCCACTGTTTATAGGTTATGTAACAAGCACAATGGAAACTTACCTACTTGATAAATTTAATTTTAAATTTAATTTAAAGTAGGTTTAATGCTTTACCGGTACCAAATAAGTAGGTGAAGTAACGATGTTAGTGGAATTTGCCTCTTATAATTCTGGTTCCGAGGACATAAAACATTTTTTTTTGTTTCCATGTAGAAATACAAATATTAATGATATTCGTATTGATGAATTTATGAGGCTAGAGGATGAGTTATGCTACAGGATCGATTGACACTGTTTGTATCTGGGGACTTAAAACTTTAAACTTATGCTTGGTGATGTTTATAGATAGTACAGAAACAGGTGCATATTTTGATAGAATATGAAAGTCGTACTTAAAAAGAGCTTGACAAACAAAAAATGCAATCCTCAACGAAAAAGTAAACCATAATATATACCTCCAATAATGCTTTTGTCATTAGCATCTGTCTTTTAAATCCATGGATTTTTTTTTTCCAAACTTATATCCTGAATTTTAAATATTTTTATCCCAATCTCAAATTTTACTCAGCTTTGATACAGTGCCTTAATGTACTACTTTTTAAAAGTTGAATAAATATATCTTGATATTTCACTCCCATTGTAAATGAAAATACGTATAAGGATGAAGAGTGATAGAAATCCACAAGAATAAGTGTTGAATATTTCGTCGTATCAACTACACATCAACAACTGAGAGAGGAGTTAGGCAGGCAGAGTCTTACTGTGCTAATAAGCAAACAAGTGAAATGACTCTTTTGATACTTTTTAAGGGGGTTGCAATTTAGATTTTAAGTTTTAACATTACATAATTTTTGTCCTTTTTTCCCTAAACATCAACAATTAAACATCAATCAATTTAATCACCAATTTTATCATTAAAGCTTTTAAATTCTAGTTTTAGGCCTACTTCAAATTTAAGCAATTTTTTACATTTTTAATCAATAGGCCTAATGACATTGCTTGTATTTTTAGGAGTGATTGATTTTTCCATGACTGCATAATTAATTGTATTACCTTCTTTAATGCTTTCGTATTGAGATTGTGACTTTCGTTTTGCTTTTACTGTATTTTTTAAAACTGTGGATTGTATTGTTTTATTGTGAACGCTCCGCATAGCATGTGCTGCTGATGCGGAAATGTATATTTCAAATAAAGTTATTATTACAATATAACAAATTAAAAAACTGCTTCGATAATAATCATCGACTTACTGGATTATGAGTGACTCATGTTTCACTTTCAAGTAATGTTATGGTACGTAACGTTTAAGATTTTTTGGTTGAAAGAAGAAGTTCAAGAAATATATATATATATAATCACTTTATTTCTTCACAGAAAAAGTACAAATGAGTCAAATAAAGGAAAACATAAAAGCCTAGATCATTATCCGAAACTCAGAAGGCAAAAAAGAAAAAAAAGACAGTCACAAAGAAAAATATTGAATATATTATACCGTTAAACAAGTCCATTGCTTAATTTCCATCGTTGATACATGTGACTATAAAGTTTATTTTTGCATAAAACTCAAAACTAAGAATAGGCCTAATAGTAGTACATTTAACCTCAACAAACAAGGAGCATCACAATCATCAATAACTGAAGCTTGGTTTCCATACAATCGCTACACGCTATCGCTGACGTCAGCTTTCGGTGATGCTGATTGGGAAGCCTTTCCCGATGCGTCGTGGACTGCTACGCAGTACAACGATTGTGTATTACTGTATTAACTGACGCTCCATGGTTTCCGCATCGCTACACGCCATCGCCGACAGTTTTTGGTGATGCTCCCCAAAGGCTCCCGAGAAAATACTGTAATTCGCAAAATATTTTGATTTTAGGTGATTTTTAACTACTTGACCGTGATTTTTTTTGTGGGTGGTGGGGGGAGACTGTGGGGCGTGAGTAATTCTTTTGGCCAATCAATGTAATGTCAAATATGTATGACCTATGCCCATGGCTGTCGATCGGTTGGGACAGGAGGATACGTCCCCCCACAATATCAATTGTCCCCCCCCCACTTTTCACCAATCTTTTATAGGTTAAAACCCCACGAAACGAGTGGAAAGAACAACAATTACGAATGACTGTCATGAATTTTTCCAAGTGCGGTGCCTGCGTATTTCCGCACCAATACTGAGTAAAAAAGCAATTGTTTGTACATTTCGTAACCATCTCAGTAACCACTCCATCTATTTTATGAATGCACCGGTTATGTGAGGCTACATTTATTATGAAAACAATGTACTGTACGTTGTTGAAATTGGAAGCGTGTAAACCTATGCCAACAATTTCACGAACTCGAGTTGTGATACCACAAGTTTACGAATTCCGATGTTACTTGACGCAATCTCGCCATGACATCGTGCAGGGGCGGATCCAGCGAGGGGCCACAGGGCCCCCGTTCCCCCTTCCGTCAATCCCGCCGATAAAAAAGAGGGTGAAAAAAAAAATGAGAAGAGAGGAAAGAGGCGGCCACAGCAGTGGGCGAAAGGAAAACTCGATTATTTTACCACTCACAAATTTTGAATTTTCTATTGATTGACGGCGAACACAACGGCTTTTCTCCAACCTGAGACAACTATACAAGAAGATTGGAAACCGAAAGGTCCACTGATTAATCTCAGATAAGATAGTATGATAGTACAATACATACTCCAAGTATCGAAATGCACGCCATCGTGTCGAGGGGATTCAATATTTCGACATTAATTATGTCATCATCAGGAATGATATATTATCTATATTTGCAAGCTTATATGCACAAGTACCAAAAGTGTTTGACCAATCAAAATATTACCCCTTAGGTGACATAGCTATGAATAAACTAAATATCAAAGCTTTCTTACCCTACTGATCAAAGCTACCTACAAGAACAAAGAAAGCTCCTTTGAAGCTTTCAGTCCACTGTTAAGCAGTGGGTGTAGCCTACGTATAGCAAACGCTTCTTTAAACAATAGTATAGACCAATTTTACGAACTGTCAATAATGTTATTATTAGAAAATATTATACCTAATTTATTACTTACATTACAGGCTACATTATCATTTTCAAGTATACATTGTAAACTTAAAACATATTGGAATGCCTCACAATTTTGTATATGATCATTTATAACACTATCAGATCGTGAAGAATGTTCTTTAAGTCTAGTTATTAAGCATCTATCTGTCTTACCAATATAATCACTATTACAACCTGGACATTGAAATGATAAACAACAAAGCTCCTATATTCCTTAGGGGTTTGATATTTAGTAGATATAGTACTGTCATAATGTTATGAATTTTACCTCTTTAACTTGTGTTTCTTTACTTTGTTTAAGCACCTACGTTAAAGTGGATTCACCTGCCTTTCCTGATAAGGCAATCTAACTCAAATCTTAATCAAGCTATCATCAGTGGGCCTGCGTATACATTTAGGTTCTTAATTTATTGAGTACATGGTTAACAATTTTTAAAGGGTTACCCATTCCATGACATAATTTTTTCTAATGTTACAAAGTTCTGTTTGAAGGTTATCGGGAGTACACAGTTTGTGGGCTCTTGAAACACTAAACTACGAATCCAAGAAATCTTATGGTTCCATGGGGCAAAGCTATCATAATGGATATTGACCTGTATGTGTATTTTTACGATATATACTCATGTTTCTTACGTTGTTGTCAAATTGTAAATCCAGAAAATGTACTATATCACTGTTTTGAAATGATTCAAAGGTAAAATTAATCTGTTTATGAAAAGCGTTAAAGTGACGTAGGATATGATGAAAATCATTAGGTTTAGCTAGCACTAGTGTGTCGTCAACAAAACGAGTATAAAACTTAATAATACCGGGATCTATAAGTTTAGGAACAATCTTCTAGTTCAGTCATTAAAATATTGGCTAAAACTAGTCCAAGGGGTGAGCCCATTGAAACTCCGTCAGTTTGGTTATAGAATTCATTATTACAGGTAAATAAAGTTTGTACAGCAATCCCTAAGTAGTTTCCTTAACGTATTTTTCTTAAGATTAGTAGATATCAATTTCTTATTGTAAACCCTTCAAGAATTATATTATTTACTGTAAGGGAACATTTGTGAACAGAGATTCAACATCAAAAGATACAATTAAACGGTAACCTAAATTATATAAATGGTCTGTTACACCTTTGATGCGCTCAGCAGCATCAAACCAATCTTTTAAGGGGGGGAGGGACTTTTTTGGCTCCGAAGGTGGTCCCCTATAGGTTCTATGTATTAGCCAATCACAGTCCAGCAAATGTGCACCGCCCCTTTTTTCTGTGCAAAGTTCAGGCTCTAGGGGTCGATGTACGTACGCGACCTTGGTACGACCTGAACGTAAAAAGCAATCGTGAATGTGGCCTCTCTCGAGCTTGTGATTTGTTTTACTTGATGTATAAATCGTCATAATAATTACCTTGAATTGCGTGTGTCTGATCTAAATCTATACCTGATAAACACAAAGTAAGATGTGTAAGCAGCGTAGGCTTTAAAAATAAAGAGTTCAGGCTATTATTAAGGCCTAGGCTACTTTACTTCTCTAGCGGATCCTGGCTAGGCCTAGAGGCCTGACTTGTTTTGAGTGACTATCGTACGTAGATATTTTAGTAGACAAAGGCCTATCTACCAGGGTAGCGTGGTGATTCAGGAGATAGTTTAAAGGCAAGAATTCGATCCAACTCGGCCACAAGTCAACTCGGCCACAGTCAACTCGGCCACAAGTCAACTCGGCCACAAGTCAACTCGGCCACAAATCAACTCGGCCACAAAAAGTTTGGCTACAGTCAACTCGGCCACAAGTCAACACGGCCACAAGTCATCTCGGCCACAAATCAACTCGGCCACAAGTCATTTACTGGTACTACATTGTACTAATTGTTATTATTATTACTGTTATTATTGTTGTTATTATTATGTTGTTTTTATTACCGTTAGTTTTAATATTAATTATTAGTCTTAGCATTAACATTATATATTCAAATTTTTGCTGATATTATTATTATTACAGTACCATATAAATAATAAATAATTTTCGATTTTTTATTATTCATATTATTATTATTATTATTTATTAGTCTTAGTATTATAATTTTAATAATAGTAATTTAAAAAGTTGTTGTTATTGGCGTTTTATTATTATTTTTCTCATATTATTATTATTATTAATATTATTGTTGTTGTTGTCACCTTTATTATCGATATTATTATTCAATCATATATTGAAGAAAAGGATGCAAAAACTTAGATTTACATTAAATAACTTGTGGCCGAGTTGATTTGTGGCCGAGTTGGCTGTAGCCGAACTTTTTGTGGCCGAGTTGATTTGTGGCCGAGTTGACTTGTGGCCGAGTTGACTTGTGGCCGAGTTGACCTGCACCCAAAGGCAAGACCTATACTTTACTCAGATATAAACTTGCGGCGCTAATGCACTTTCGCACCTAACTTTTAATTCTTAATTTTTTTACCTCAACATTCTTCTCACAGTCAACATATAATTAACAAACATTTTCACCTAATTTAACCATTCACAAAGTACCTTTTTCAACAAATAAGCCCACAAATAAGTACAGCGAATGTGTGTTCGCTAGCACTACGGGCAGCTGCCATTTTGCAATCAGCAAGAAATTGCCAGAACTTTTAATTCTTAATATTTTTACCTCAATGTTTTCTTCACAGTCACAACATATAATTAACGAACATGTTCACATGATTTAACCACTCACAAAGAAAGTACCTTTTTCAACAAATAGGCCCACAAATAAGTACAGCGAATCTGTGTTCGCTAGCACGATGAGCGGCTGCCATTTTGCAATCAGTAAGAAATTGCCAGAATGTCTGAGTTTGCAGCGTGAAGTTTTTTGATTAAACGTTTATGAAAACTTATCTATTTGCCGTTTATATGTCATTCTTTATATTGTGACGCTGTTGTTTGACTATGTGTGTTCACATGAAATTCACACGTACAATAATTACTAATCATTACTAAAAATTAGTAATGATCCAATTGCGTACACAGATCGAAAAATAGGGCCTGGGGCCTAGGCCTAAATCCAGAAAAACAACTATCAAAACCAATGATAAACGTCGGTTCGATTAACCTCGATTACGACAAGAAGGTTCAGAAAGATGATACTGCATGATGCCACATTTTGTTGTCGGATGTTTCATGGGAAAATTCGGATTAAAATTATAAGACTAAATTATAAGACTAGACTTAAAAATTTCAGAATTGACTCGGACATTCTGGCAATTTCTTACTTGATTGCAAAAAAATACAGCTCGTCGTGCTAGCATGCGCAGAAACCCAGTATCAACCTATATTTATAAAGGTATCTTTTTGTTGAAAAAATGTACTTTATGAGTGGTTGAATCATGTTAAAATGTTTTATAATTATGTGCAAGTTAGGGGTGGATAAGAAATATAGATCAAGCTGATGCAATTTGTATTTTTACTAGGCATAAGCCTGTTTCTCTGCACACCTGCAAGACTGGTAAAAAGGCCTGCGTTGGGGAATATATCCTCCGGGCAAAATTTTGGAAATCCGTAAGCGCATTTGGAAAATAAGGGCCGATTTCCGCACAGATTTTGCTGAAAATGAGGCTTTGACCAAATCTTAATATAGCCTATAAAACCAATGCAATTGTGCAGCAATTACGATTCCGTGCATCCTAGCGATTTTTCTCAAATTTGAGCTGACTTTCAAGATATTTTCTGCGCAATTAAAAAAAATTTTACAGTATGGCACTGCTGCAGGCAGGAGGATACCTTATTTAATAAATATTTGTGAAAGTTGACCTTCCTTGAAATAGAATTCACATATGTCTGTGTGTAACTTTATTATTAGAGATAATGGCATTTTAAATGCATTCTGATTTTTTTATACATGTATGTAGGCCTAAATAAAGATTTTACACTCAGGGGAGGTGCTACCCAATAGGCCAATATTATAAAGTAGGCATTAAAATCAGTATAATATTATACTCATCAATCTAGGCCTAATGCTTAAATGTTTTTCTACTATTTTCAGACTTCAATAGAAAGGATTCATTTAAAAAAAGCATCCTGTGTAGTGTCTTACTATAGTATCGAATGAGTGACAAAGGATGCTAGTGACAGCTCAAACGAGGATGATTAAAATACTGATGTTGCTATGATACTGAGTCCTTTATCTTGATGATAGTTATAGTCAAGTTTTTAAACAAACATTGAACATAGATTGTTGAGGTGAGGGTCTACAATGGCAATAGGTTCAGATGAGGCAGACGATGATTTTTCCATGGAGGCTTATGGGTCTGTACTGTATTCAAAGTACCTACCAAAGCAAGTCTTAGGCCGGTAAGACTAATTTTATTTACTAATTCTGTGATATTACTTTTAGACCTGCCTAACAAATACTTTCGGTAATAACACTACTGTTCTCATTTTTCATTGTTTATATTTGTCTGTTTACTTTTCTATGGGACTGCATTCTAGTTCTGTTTTTTTTTTTTTACAAATTCTATTCCTAACAAGGCTTGAATCTGCTTTAGAGAGTTTTGTCCCATGAAAAATACCCCAAAAAATATATAAATTCTTTTGGAAATACTTGCTTGAAGTAATTAATAATTATCAACTTGAACATAAAAATTAGTGTATTTAAAAAATGTTTACCCATGATTTTACAGTGAAAAATGATACATTTTTGTATCGTTATCCAGTATAAAAAATCAGGATACAAATTTTTTTAATTCAATAATTTCTTTGCTCAAGTAATTAATTTGTATGTTACTACAAAATGAGCAATTTGATTTCAATTTTTTGTGACTTTTGTTAATTTTAGGGGACAATACATAAAAAGACTAACATGAACAAAACATAACAAACACCCTGAATTTATTGTTTGATGGCAAAGTAATAATATATATTAATGCTTGTGGTACACCACATACAGTAGATAGTTCTGAAAAGAACTGTTTTTGTTGGTTGAGAATATCTTGACGTTTCGATTGAGTTACTTCAATCATCTTCAGGAGAATAATATGCAGAAATTCCAAAACAGTGAAATACTTATGTGTTTTGGGTAGTGAGACTTGCTGCTGATTGGTTGAAAACTAAACAATAGCTGAGACTACTTGTGAAAAAGCTACAGTAATACAAAAGCCCAAATTCACAGTCTGTGCAAAATGGTGGGGCGTGGCTTTTCAGACCTACCTATGTGGTGTACCGCATGCTTCAACATATATGTAATATTACTTCGCCATGCAAACCTTCAAATAATACTTAGAAAACAATAATATCACGAATTATAACATAGTGGAGTCTTCACTTTGGTTTGCCTTAAGAGAATTCTAATGCTTCCCCCTAATAGTGAGAGTAGTAAGCAAACATATGAGTTAAAGTTTTCATTTTTTATTTTGTTTTCCAGAGGCATCAGCAGTACTGTAAGAAGATGCATTAAAAAAGATACACTGCAGGAATATGCTGTCAAAATAATTGATGTTGTAACTGAAAAGGTAGATGATATTGGAATAGAAGACTTGAAATTGGAGTACAGGAATGAAGTTGCAATATTAAGAAAGTTGTCTGGGCATCAACACATTGGTAAGATATTTTCCATTTCGATGTCTGTGGTCTAGTGGTTATGACACCAGGCTAGTTATCTGGAGGTCGTGGGCTCATTTCCCACCCAGATCACTTGACAAATTTTTTTCACAAGTAGTGTACAGGTATTTGTAATAAGATAATTTTTTAATTTTCTTTATTTTATTAAATATTACAAGATATGATAGTATAATACATACTCCAAGTATAGAAATGCACGCCATCGTGTCGGGATTCAATGTTTCGACGTTAATTATGTCATCATCAGGAACAATCATCATTGCTGATGATGACGTAATTAATGTTGAAATATTGAACCCCGACACGATGGCGTGCATTTCGATACTTGGAGTATGTATTATACTATCTTATCTGAGATTAATCAGTGGACCTTTCGGTTTATGACAAGATATAATATGAAAATAACCAACCTGATGGTTCTTGCTTTTAATTAGTAGTTTCGCCTTGCTGCTTTGAAGTAACAGGCCTAAAGCCTTTAAAACCCCCACTCATATACTCTTGTACCAGTGTTAACATTATTACTGTACTGTACTTTGATCCCAAGATATATTTTATTATCTTTCAATAAATCAATTCAATTCTATTATAGTTTTATGGCTACATTCTGGCTTACAATCTGTTGTTAAGCAATAGACCATTGACTTTTGTTATTTTTATATTTTAGTATTTCTATTCTATGCAGATTATTTGTATTTGTCTTATATTTATTGTACTTTTTTTGTCTATTATATTTCAGTCATGATGTATGATTTCATTGAATCACCAACTTATTTCTTTCTGGTTTTTGAGTTGTAAGTACAAAGTCTACCTGTCATCAGTGAAAATTATACTGTGAATATATATCTTGGATTTTTAAATAAAAATGTTGAACTTATATATTTCTCACATATGTAAAATATGGCAATATGGAATTATAGGATTTATTTATTTTATTATTAACATGCATCACATGTTTAATAAATCACTGTTTTGTAAAATATGTTATTGATAATACAGTAATTGGAAAATTATTATTAGTTTATTATTTATGATGAATATTTTTAGCTCCGATGAGGAGCTCTAGAGACTGATTGATTAATAGTAGATTGATTAATAGTTCTTTTTTAGATGTACTGCCTCCATTATACTGCCCTCATGAGGAGCTCTAAAAACACTCGGATGATTGATTAATAGTTGATTAATTAATATATCTTTTTTAGCTCTACTGCCTCTTATACTTTCTACCCTCCTCGGAGCTTTCGTGACTACGAGAACTTGTTTTTTTCTAATTTGACAGATGTACAGGAGGAGAACTGTTTGACTACCTCACTAAAGTGGTAACATTATCAGAGAAAAAAACAAGGTAAAATTTCAGCAAAATCATCTTTATAAAAATGTGGTATTAAATACAGCATTTTTATAACTGTTTGAAAAAAAAAATCAAGTTTTAAAGAGAAATTTCAATGTGCATTATAAAAAACAGCATATCTAACAATGCTTCATAACTGCAAGAAAAGGGCTATAAAAGTAACAAGAAACATGTACAGCTACAGTAAATTAGAGATTTGAGAGATCTAACATGAAGTGTGATGTTGGCAATACTGTTTTTTTTTTAACCTCTTTATATTTTTATAACTTTTTTTTCCTATAGAAATATAATGAAACAAATTCTAGAAGCTGTGCAGTACATTCATAGTCACGGTATAGTCCATCGGGATTTAAAGGTGGGTTACTATAAAATAGGGCACGCATAAGATAGAAGTATTAATTTTTTTAATTATCTATAAATTAATAATTAGTAAACTTAACTGATCCTAGGAAATTTCTCTTCACTGAGAGCTAGTGGTGGGTGTAGGGTGATCCCTTGTTAAATCAGGCAGTGCATCCTAACAATCCCCATCTTTCGAAATGCACATGTGGTTTGTTGTACACAGGTTCAGTGGTGACACCGGTAGAGAGGTCGGGGGAATAGATCAAGGTTTGTATTCACTTGTGTAAACACATTGGTACCTTGGTAAGAATGTTCCGTAACATTTAAACATGTCCTGTGTAACATTTAGCTGGTATCCCATGTAACAGTTTATCTTGTGTGAATCGGGTATTAGACTTGAAGTAATCTATTGTACATACTATACCACCAGCACAGTCGTTCTTAACACCATATCTAGTTGAAATCTTGACACAGCATCTTCTGTTACTGCGCCATTTTTATGGAATTCCCTACAATTCCCCTTCTCAAAATTTTCAAAAACTGTCAAAAAACACATTTTTTAAATTCTGTTTCAACACTTAAAATCTTTTCTAAGACAGAAAAAGCATTTGACAAAAAACTTGGTAATGGTTAATGAAATACAGATTTTTTTAATATTTAAAAAAATGGGGGAAAAAGGGGTGTAACCACCCTTTTTCCCCAAGTTTTTAAATATTCAAAAATCTGTATCATATCTCATTAAGTTCTTTGTCAAATATGCTTTTTGTGTAGACTTTCCTTAGAAAATTCAGCTCTACAACATATCAAAACATTTTTTCCTCCGAAACAGCACATTGAGACTTCATTTAGGGCTACAGCAGATTTATATACATTACATTACCTCATTGTTTTTATTCTGAAATACTGAGTCCTGATTTGCCAATGACATGGTCAGTTATATCAGAGCATATCATTGTTTAATTAAAATGTTATTGATTTTATTACCAGCCTGAAAATATCCTCCTTGATCAGAATTGTAACGTAAAGATATCAGATTTTGGTTTTGCTGTTAATGTTCAACCTGGGAAACTCTTAAAAGGTATGGGTTTTTTATCATCATTTCTTTCATTCTTTAATACAAATCAATCAAAATTTGTTAACAATGTTTTTATAGAGGATGCATAGCATTCAGATTCCCTTTTCAAATTTTTCCTAAAATGATCCAGGTTTTTATATAAATTTGTAAATTCAATTTAATGTAAATTCATTTTATAAGTACATTTATTATTATATAATTTATTATTATTATTATTATTATTATTATTATTATTATTATTATTAACATTTTGAAAGTACAAAGGAAAACACTTCTTGATAATTATGTTTCCTATTCAGTCATCTCCTATATTAAATTAATTTTTAGTAATCTAAATTTAAAACATGAAAGTAGAGTTTTCATGTTTGTTGAGCCATTTTAAAGTTTCATAGTAATTCCTGATGAACTACTCTTTTGTATTCTTTGTGAAGAGCATATAAATATTATTTATATTTCCAAATGCACTGCATAAGTGAAACTGTTTTTATCAATGTGTCTCTTTCATCTTTATGAAACAAAAACCTGGTTCCAATTATCTGAAGATGTATCTTTCAATAAAGTGCTTTTTATTGACTATAACATGAGCATCTATTGTTTGCATGGTATGTGGGTCACTATTATTTTAGTGGGGAATTCCCCTTCCCAAAGATACATAGTTTGGGTAGGAAGGGGTGGGACATCTGTTCATTATGAATTTTTTTATGTATGGTGTGATATTCAATTGGCAGATATAATCCACAGTGGTTTATTTTAGCAATAAATGATTGAATGGAATATGTAATTATGAAATATGAAGAGACAATAATGAATGAGTGCTATACTAATAATACAAATAGTGGATTGAACAATTCATTTATATTGGGTTAATGTGTTTTAATGTCTATTTTGAGATGGTTTAGGTCCTGATATTTGTGCCACTGTATCTAGTTGTTTTCATGTAGTTTGAGAATACCTATTCTTTGTGTTGGTAATATAAACTTAAGAATCATGAATATAATTTTGTTTTTCTTTTTTATTACAAAGATTTATGTGGTACACCAGGTTACTTGGCACCTGAGGTTCTGAAATGCAACATGAAAGTTGATAAGGTCAAAGGTTATAGCTTTGAGGTTGATCTCTGGGCCTGTGGTGTTATAATGTATACATTGTAAGTAACACTTTCGATTTTCATGAGACACATTAAATCGTCAATTTACATACAAAAATGAAATTACAGTAGAGCCCCTCCTTTGGGACACCTCTATTAAGGGAGGGGTGTATACAGGGAGGGGGCCCACCCAGTGGTGAGAGATTCTAATGGTGGATCCAGGAATTTGAAATAGAGGGGCCCAGGGAAGGATTTTGACAGATAGGGTTTTAATACCACCTCAGCACCACCATAGTTGGGGCTGAGATCAGAAAATTTATGATTATGGCACCACTAGATGGCCAGAAATGCTGGGACCATTTCATTCAGCCTTTTTTTCTTATACTGGAACACAGACATAACAGATTATACTGTTAGGGATAACAATAAAATAATTTTGTTTTTTTTTACGTTGGTAATCTATCTAAACTTTTCTGTACCATAGTTAGCTCTAAACTGATTAGTGTTCATTTGGAATAATACTCTGTAACTGAATATACAGTAGTGTGGCTTCTAACTTATAGTATATAATATTATAAATATATTCTTGTTAACCTGGTCTCATTTTCAGTGGTAGGACAACCAAAACATAGTAAGAACAAATTATATTTCATTACACAATTTATTATTCAATAGACACATTCCGCTAAGTTGGTCATGTGACGTATAGTGGGCATCAATTGTAAACATGCAGCGCGAATGATGCTCGATAATAGGAAAACGTGTGGCTTCTTCATAGTGTTTGTGCTGTAAAGCTTGTATTTGATGTGGAATAATGTTGGTTGGAATGCCAGTAACTATACCAAATTGATTGGAAATTGAAATTGAGAGTTTTGCCGTAATGGTTTGCTAACTAATAAAGGGCATCCCTAAAATTTGTTTTCCCTCTCATGAAAACCTCTCTCAGCTTGCGGAACAATTTTCAAAATTCTTTCATGATAAAATCATGAATATTCGTCTTCGTTTATCACAATTGCAGCTTTCTCCATTGTCTCATCCATCTAATGTTTCAATTGTAACTCCGCCACTGGAGTCACTGCACACTAACAATGCTTACATTTTTTCTTCATTTGACACTGTTGACCATAATGCCATTGAGAAGTTAATTTTGTCCTCGGCTACTTGTTCATTAGATCCCATCCCTACCAAACTTCTTAAATCTTGCAGAGCCAGTATTGCTCCAGCCATTGCTTCTTTAATCAATAAATCTCTTGAAACCGGCTCTTTTCCGGATAATCTTAAAAGTGCGGCCCCTGCATGTCTGTGGCTTGTTTAGGTATGCGCGAGGGTTTTCGATCCGCCATCTGTGATTTTGACACGCTACGATTTCTAGGCTAGCTAAGGTTTATGAATGATCACAAATTCCAAAGCACATTGAACGCCAGAATGAGTAAATAAACACTAATTTCAACAATTGTAGTGCCTTTCCTTTCCAGTTTCATGTTAATGGTGGGCGGTTGTTTTCGCAACCATAACATTACCCTACCATAACATTACCCTTATACTTTAACACTGATTGCACTGTAAATTCCCCATTGTAATACCCATTATATGTCACGTGACCGGCTGTAAACAAACCTTGTGGAATGTGTCAATTGTTATACCTAATTGATGGACTATGAAACAGTCGCATAATGCTGACTAGTTTGTTCACGACTTTACAAGTACCACAACTTTTGATCATATCCTTCATTTATCCAACAATAGATCAAATTATAACAAGGGATGTATATACTACTAATTGTATATGTCACATGTCATACAGGATGTGACAGAGGTCAAAAGTTTATTGACAATATTTGTCATATATACTTGATAAATGTCATCTCCTGTGCTAGTCATTACACTGCTATTATTATCTAGTATTAAAGTACTTGGTCTGTAGTTCTTACCTATTTAATCATCAAGTTTATTTCTCAATAAACAACTACCCGGTATATATTTCTAGTGTATTCCTTCTAAACTGCATAAAGCATAGTAAGTTTTAGTATGTAAGTTAGTAGTTACTATCATACTCTGTCATGTATTTTATAAAAATGTTAAAAACTAATTTTACTTTAATTTTATAAGTGCTGTACTGAGTTCATCTGGAACAAATATATGTTAATAAAGTTTCTTTTTTAGTTTAAAACCTAAAGAATAATTTATTTTAGTATTATTATTATTAAGCTTAGTAAATTTGTAGTGGGGGAACCTGGGGATGCAAGCTTTCTTTTGAGGGTGCCTGTGCCCCCAAGCCCCTTCCCTGTAGATCTGTAACTGCTGTAAAATAGCTTGACCATAGATCAGTGTTGTAATTCAAATTTTGAGAGTTTTCAAGATTTTTGCAGGCACCTTTAACCTTTGCATATCTTCAAAATTTCTAAGATAAACAGTACTGCCATAAATCATTGTTGGATTTCAAAAACACTATTTAAATTGTTGTGACCATTTTTGTTTCTTCACACAGACTAGTCGGTCTTCCTCCTTTCTGGCACAGGAGGAAAATGGTTTTACTTCGGTCAATAATGGACGGCAGGTATAAGTTTGGCAGTCCTGAATGGGATGATATATCTGACCCACCTAAAGAGCTGGTAAGTATTCTTTTTAAAAGCATATTTTATTACATCCGCGAAGGAGGTTATATATTCGCCCCTGTCTGTCTGTTTGATGCTAAAACTAAGAAATGGATCATCATACAATTTAGTGGAGGGCACATAATAGTCTAAGAGATAATTAACTTTTAGGGAGAAAATGTTGAAGGACAAGGTAATGGTCATGGAAATTAAATGTTTTCTGTTGAACTTACCTTTGAGTATAATAGAAAATAATTGATTCACCCTAAACAGCCTGCATATTGTTTGGGATTCAGGTCCAGGGCAGAGGTATGCACTATGGAGTGGCTGCTCTAGTTATACATGAAATCATAAAATTGTGCTGAACGTAAATTAATTAATAAATTTAAAACAGTTTGGCATAATTAAAGTTCTTTTGATTTGATTTATTCGATATGCTCTTTAAAATACTAGGGTCCCACAAACCATGGTTAGCCTTCAAGAAACCATTGGTGAACCCTACACTTAGTTATTTATTAGCGACGGTTTTTAATATTGTTGATATATTCAAAATATATTGTTTAGGAGCCATCCATTTATTCATCTTTTTCACAAGAGTACATGCTAGGGAGAGGGGGTAATTGACTTATTACATTCTTTATGAAAATATAAATATAAATCTGGTATTAGGCACTGTATGAATGTTTTTGGATTGATTGGATAAAATAAATTATTCCCTTCTGGTGTAATGTAATTAATTTTTTGTTTTTAGATATCTAAACTATTAGTTGTTGATCCAAAGCAACGGTATACAGTAGAAGAAGCAATTAATCACCCTTTCTTTCACTATGAGATTTCGAAACCTGAAGTCTTCATGGCTCGCAGAAAATTCAAGGTAAGAACAATGACAACACTAAATAATATGATGATGACTATAGTATATAGTGAATAATTACCATGGTGGTTGCCAGTTCTCACAGCTCAATAAAATTTGTTGGAGAGAAAAAAATCTTACATAATTTTTACTGACTGAGAATGTAAAATTTATTAAATACTGGTAAGCCTTTTAAATCACTGAATTGTCTAAGCTCGTGGGGGCTTTTGGTTGCTCTTGGATGCACCTGCTTACATTTGGACATCTGTTAATGCACTTGCTGTAGAATTGAATAGCCTGGTGTTTAAGATGCTTGCCTTCCAATCCCAGGGTCCTGGGTTCAATTCCTGTCAGTGTTGCAGAATTGGTTCACATGACCAAAACAACTGCACTCCCTACACCTCAAATTGAGATTTAGTTTGTGTAAAGCATTGTGTGTGTATGTTTTTCTTGATTAAAGCTCAGTTTCCATAGAATCGCTCACCCTATCGGCAACAGTTGTCGGGAAGGTTGAACCTGGTTCAACTTTGCTGATTGCGTTGCAGACAAATCGTGGTGCAGACAAATCGTGGTGCCTTCCCGAATGTGTCAGGGCAGCTAGCAATTATTCGTCTGCAATCAAGTCTGCAATGCAATCAGCAAAGTTGAACCAGGTTCAACCTTCCCGGCGACTGTCGCCGATAAGGGTGAGTGATTCTATGGAAACCGAGCTATATTCAATATTGACAATCCTTGGTGCATGTGTTGTGTGCCTAAATAAATAAATGTTCACAGAATGTAGGTTTATGATCCTTAGAAACATAATATTAAATTCATATACATTTTATTTAATTTCAGGCAGCAATAATTACTGTAAGAAGCATTTGCATTCTGCAAAAATTAAACTCACAACGACCAGTTAATATTTGCTCGGCAAAGTCAAACCCATACAGTGTAAAAATGGTACGCAAAGTGATTGATGGGTGTGCCTTCCATGTTTACGGGCACTGGGTAAAAAAAGGTGAAGAACAGAACCGTGCAGCTTTGTTTGAGACAACGCCGAGGGTAGAATTAAAAATGGCCTACGATAGATCTGATGAAAAGTTCAGTACAGAAGGCCCAAAAAGGCTCAGCGAATTTTACGGACGTTCTGTTGTACATCACACAGTTTTTGAATAATACCAGTGTATGGTAAAGGAATAGGTACAGCCATCTTGAACATGCATTAGTTTATTTATGAATATTCATAGAACATTATGAATATTGATTATGGGCATCTTGCAATAGTTAAATTATAATATATTTTCTTGGTTATTCTGATTTTGAATGATGTGTCTTTAGTCTAGGGTCTTTTTGAAAAATTGTTATTACAATAGTCACATTCCGCAAGGTTTGTTTACAGCCGGTCACGTGACATATAGTGGGTATTACTATCTAGAATTTACAGTGCAATCAGTGTTAAAGTATAGGAAAGTGTAATGTTATGGTTGCGAAAACAACCGTCCACCATTAACGTGGGAAATAACTGGCAAGGAGAGGCACTACGATTGTTTAAAATAGTGTTTAGTGCTTATTCTACTGTTTAACGTGCTTTGAAATTTGTGATCCTTCGTAAAGCTTAGCTAGCCTAGAAATCGTAGGGTGTCAAAATCGCAGTTAGTGGATCAAAGACTCTCATGCATACCTAAACATTATATGCAGGGGCCTAGGCCTAGCATTTCTCGAAAAATCTCAATGTTTGAGGCCAGGGTCTTTTGGAGCATTAGCAAACCATTATGGCTAAACTCTCAATTTCAATTTCCAATCAAAATTGGTATAGTTTCCAACCAACATTATTCAACATCAAAATATGTACTTTACAGCATAAACACTCCGAAGAATCCACGTATTTCCTATGGAAATTGCCCACCAAGAATGTTTTCAGGATGATTTACAAATTGTAGTGCCACGCTGTGTAAAATTTAATTAAACTAGAAAAAAACTAAAACATTATTGGTTCATTTGGTCCATATATGGATATGTGCTTGTTCTTCTGTATGTAAGATAGAAAATTTTTCACATGCTGGTTCTGATTTTTTTGCATATACTAGAAACTCGCATGAAATAATGTCGAGAAAGAATGATGTGCTTATGTTATGGTATGTCTGGAATTGACTTCATTAATTTTTTAGGAGTGTTATATAGAATTGGCAATAGTCTGTTTACTACTACCGACCCTACATATTTGTGTCAATTGTGGCTTAAGACCATGCCGCGTAAATCCAAAAAGCATAGAAAAGGAAAGAACACAGTACGCTTGTATTGTAAACAGTATTCACCCATATAGGCAGCTACGTTAATACCCAGTACAGTAGTTCCGAACAAGTTTTGTTTGTTCTCCACTCCATTGATATTGCATTTAATTTTAAGGCACAACATATTCCAAACAAGACTATCTGATGCGAATCCAGAGAAAAATATGGGTAGGGGCCATGTAATGGCCGAAGGTGTAGAAGGGGGTTAACGATTTGTTTAGAAATTTCTTTGGGAGCCCTTATGCCTTGTCTCCCCACCCCGCCCTTAGAGCTGCTGCATGCCAACAACTTAGATACTTTCTGAATTAGTAAACAGATTGCTCTTCCAATTATTCTTTTTGTTTAAAACTAACTGAAAATAAGTTTGTTTATATGAAAATTCTTAAATTTAAAAAAACCTTTCTAATCATATATATATTTTGTGTATAGTATCTATTATTTTCATGTTATTCAAATGTCTGGAGAGAATAAGAAGTAATTATTTCTTCCCCATTATAGTTATTTTGTTTTGAAAAATGCTGCATTTGTAGAAACTGATAATATATGCAAATTATTATTATTTTTCAAATAAGGAGTGACTTTAAGGATTATGTAAAATCACTTGTTACATTATAAACTTTGTCAGATTGATGAAATAAAGTTTATTCAAAATATCACTTTATAACTTGAATTACAAAACACAATGACTCAACATTATTAAGATTTATTGACAATAATCTCAACATCTGTGAGGTGTGAATAACTAGGCTCCTTCTTGAATGTCCACATCATTGGGGGCGCTTGTTGAAGAGTAGATGTTGGAAAGACATGAACTCCGATATCATTGAAGACATCAAGAAATTTAAAATTGTTTACAATATCAACTTGATGAACGAATGGTAAAATCTAAATTCAGGCTAAGGTCAAACTTAAAAAAGAAAGAATTAATTAGAAAAAGATTTGAGGGAAAAACACATTTTAAGGTGCATTGTCATTAAGCACTATGTCAGGGACTAAGCACTATGGGGTGTTCATGTGATTAAAAGAACAGGCCTGGAATTTATCAATCTCAGCTTAGCAAATGTCTTAAGTCAAAAAAGTTAAGATGTCCCTAATAAATATCTTGCGCTGATTTACTACCCAATCCTAGCAAAATCTTGGCCTAAAAATCGTTTTAAAATGGTGCCAATGTACAATCGACTTTCTAATTTTAAGCAATTTCTAAGCTAAGCAATATTGATAAATTTGACTTTAAGCAACAAAATGAACTGATTTCTAGTTTGATAAATGTGGTACCTAATGGTACTGGACATACAGTAGGGTACTCTATTACATGGGTACTAGGGTACTTTAATTACTGTGGGCATACATAAGGTACTTAGATACTTGGTGTGGTATTCAGTACTGTGCTTAGAGGCAGTGGACATGGTGTACTCTACTTGATTTCATTCAAGGGATTTCTTCGGGGACTAAGCACTCGGCATGACATACTATGCAATGCGCATGTGGGTACTTAATTGCCAATCACACGAATGCGTTTAAAATTTTCAGTTTCTTATTGGCCAGTGATTCGATCAACATATTTTTGGTATCCGGATCGGGATTTTCTCGTATGGACGCACGGCAGCTAATGGTTAGCAGGATCCGGATCCAGCTAACCGTTAGCAGCCGTGTGAGGACATAGCCTAAATGATAAACCATAAAGGATACGGCTTTAATGTATGGTACCTCCTCTTCCAACACTTTACTTGGAAACCTACAAAAGTAACAAAATCAATATGTTGACTGCTGTATATGCATTACATGCATTACGTAAAACCATTTGCCATCTGAAAATAAACAAACTCACCTCTCCTCAAGTTGCTGGAAACTGTTCCCAATGATGATCAAATTAGCAAGTGAATTCCCCCAGTTACACCACAATAGGTTGTTGTAAAGTGGCTTCCCACAATGGGGCATGAAAAATATTGTTGGCTTATATACTCTTCGTTTTCCCTCCTGAAATAAAAAAAAAAGGTGAAAAGCCTTCAATTAACAAAGATGGTTGGTGTGAACTCTAACCAGGATTCTGTAAAGACCAGGGGTCGGGTAAAACCTTACTGGCCAGAAGCAGTGGCATAACGCTGGAGCCGGGGGCCCCTTGTGGCTTTCTGAGACTGGGGACATTTTTTGGGTCCCAGTCGCCAATTCCATTGTGGGATTTTAGATGTGGCCACTGGCCAGAAGCATTCTAGCAAGCATGTAAACGCAAAAATTATTCAATTAATTTTTTTAGAGCATATACTGTATCTTCTTTCATGCAAGCAAATATATCTTCTTTCATGTATTTCTGAATCACCAAAACATACCTCATTAGATTTTAAACATGATAAATCGTATCTTTTCAGAATATCATTCTCTGCTGTTGTAAATACTGGGTCATAGCAAAAACCTCTAGAGGGTGCTATCTAGGAAAAAAAAAATAGATATTATATTAACACAGACATTTAGGATATAAAATGGTGGCTGATGGGCTGATTGATTGATTGATTTTAAAAAGGCGCTTTGGTGCAGTAATTTCTATTCAGGTGCTGAGACTTGTGCTCGGAAGTTCAAACCATACGCTGACCACGATTAGATACCCAGACGGCTCTGTTGACAAACTGTAAAATAGTTCATGCTTTGTTTCACCCCAAGGTAAAATTTGTGGTTGTAGCTGCTTCTCATCAATAATAGTAGTAGCATCAGTCTTCCTATACCTAGATTACAAAATAATATAAATTTACAAGCCACATACATCTACCTTTAATAAAGATAGCTCACCTGAAAATGATCAAGAAGAAGAAGAAGAAGAGCCAACTGGTATCTAGCATTGACGCAAGAGGAGAAGTTTCCAAGGCCGTAACAAACAATACTATCAACTGAAAAACTAGACTGCATTACACTATGTACTGATTGGTCCTGACCCTCTTGGTTACTTCCTGTTGTTGCTTCAACTAAAACTTCATATTCTCTAGATAAATCTCGCACATTTTTTCGAATTTTTATTTCACAATTGTCTTCATCCTGACATGCGTTGGTTGGGTTCCCAATTTCCTCACAATTCTCTATTACTTGGTTTTTAATCGTCAGAGATGAAAGTTTATCCGTAATACAAGGCACAACTTCTTCCTCTTTCAAGGGTTCATCTCTTCTAAAACCTTGCTGGCACCTGTATGAGCTTGAAGTTACCTCCAAAGACCTTTCTACTGATTCTAGATTTTAAAAAGATAATTCATAAATTTTGGTTAGATTTGGCAAATAAATTTATCAAAAATTGTTAATTGAATTAATATTTAAATGTGTTAGGTAAAATAAAAAATATAAATATATGGGTATATATAGAAATACAATTTTAATAAGCATATTTATGTGCAATGATTATCCAAAAGGGATATGATTTTGAATGAAAATATATCCAGATTAATACTAACCTTTAAACTTTAACCAGAAACAACTTTCCTTTAATTCCTCTCTGAACAGAATAAGAGCATATCAAGTGAAATACAGTAACAAATCAAGAAGCTTAATAAAGTGAATTGAAAATCAATGAAATCAATGATCATGTTTCCATTTTGTAAACAAAATGAAGTGTTGTTCAACATACTCCTCTTTCCACATCCATATTCAATTCTGCGGTTTATTTATTGGGTCACAGAAACTCATCCACTTTCTTCCCCCTCTCTACCATCACTCTCGTTTAATAATAATAATAATGATAATAATAATAATAATAATAGCAATAATAATAATAATAATAAATAATAATAATAATAATAGCAATAATAATAATAATAATAATAATAATGGTCGACTTATAGAGTGCATATTATGGAGACTTCTATGCGCTTAACATACTGTAATATGAAAAACTGTACAAAGAAAGTAATACTTAACTTATCCTATTCCTTAAACTAAGCATGGTTTGGCTGTTGGCTCCGAGGAGTTCATCCGCCCTTTGTTCAGCTATTTTTCTTATTGCTGCTGGGTGGACATTCACCTCCCACCCAAAGGCAGCTAAGGCCGTAGATGGGTCTGCCTGTTAGTTGCCGGCGATTCTAGTGGGTGCATTTTTACGTCATACCCAGGACATCTTAAACTATTAAAACTAATCCTAATTATTATCCCTTTCGTTGGTTAACCATGTATTTCAGTGTTAAAGACAGGCTTCAGAGGGGAAAAAAATGATATTCTGTACAAATGAATGGAAAGTCTAATAAGATACAGGTTTTTGAACATTAACCCATTTCTCTTTAATGCTTTAGTATATTCATTTTTATAGCATGAACATTTTTACCCCGCGAAGAAAGTAGAGGCGATTATAGTAGTAATGCCAAGTGTCACAAGTTGGAAGAAATCCTTTTGTGGGAGATCCGGTTAAATGAGCTTTCTTAACATATTTAATGTTATTTTGCTGCGCATGGAGATACCCACAGCAATGCGGAAGGCCATCCCGATTTCCGGGAGACTCCAGCTACTTGGGACCCCTGATATTGATGGGACTTAGTCTTACTTGCATATCTTGATTCTGGCTATCACCTTCTCTATATCAGCAATGGTGCATGATGCTGCTTGGTCTTCACAAATATTTGGCCTAATCTTATAAGATGGTTTGGTTTTCTTTCTCTTTCTCTTAACAATTTGGAATTCTTCCATCTGCTGGGCTAAGACAAAGAAGATAATTAAGTTAGCCAGCCTCACTGCTTCATTTTTGTTGTGCCAATTTATAGTTGTATTTACTGCACATCCATAAATAATGACGGCTAACTAATATCTAACTAGTGATAATCTAAATAGTAAAATTAAATATGTTTTGTCGTGTGCACAATACTAATCCCAGCTGTACATTTTTACAGAAAGAATAATCTGCCTTGTATGTTCTAGTTACTTCACGACAATGCTCTCATAGATTGAGCCTAACCTGTGGTTCTCTAGCTGATGGAGACGAATTCGATCCAACTCGGCCACAAGTCAACTCGGCCACAGTCAACTCGGCCACAAGTCAACTCGGCCACAAATCAACTCGGCCACAAAAAGTTCGGCTGCAGTCAACTCGGCCATAAGTCAACTCAGCCACAAGTTAACTCGGCCACAGGTCAACTCGGCCACAATTATTATTATTGCTGTTATTATTGGTGTCATTTTTATTATTATTGTTGTTTTTATTACTGTTTTAATATTAATTATAGTCAGCATTAACATTATATATTGTTTAAATTTTTGCTGATATTATTATTGTTACCATATAAATAATACAAAATTCTCGATTTTTTTTATTCATATTATTATAATATATTAGTCTTAGTATTACTATTTTAATAATAGTAATTTTAAAAATATTGTTATTGGTGTTTTATTGGTATTTTTCTCATATTATTATTATTATTATTATTATTA